GACTCCGTAGTCGGAACTTCGTACAGCTCACACTCAACTTCCTCAAGGAAGGAATCATATTCTCCATCTAAATTGGGCTCATGGACCTTTAGCAGAATCAATTCTTTGACCCGTTGTAGTTCCAGTCAGAGGACTGCCATCCTTCCGCTAACAGGCTTCTAATCAGCGATGCTATCAACGAGGTTAGGTTCTATAAAAGCGCTAAACCGGCCTGACCGAGCGTCGTAATAGCGATACCTGCGTAGAATAGCTTCCATCCGCAGAGGTTAAAAATTCTAGGGTTTTTGCGCTTCGTTGACGAGAGACAAACTATGCCTTGTTGGTACCTTACTGCCTCATCAACTATTTCCTGCTCTTTCTCTCTGAGTGAGGATATATTCAAATTTCCGACCGTATGCACCCACTGACAGTATCATTCTCTTGGAGCCTTTTCTGACGTACTGCAATGGTATTGCGCTTTCTGCCTCATCTGTTCAAAAGGGGCAGGGACTCCATTGTTGATTGGTATCTTCGTCGTCGTTTCGTCGATCTTCGGCTGCCGTTGTTGTGCTGCTACGCCCCCGGCTGCCAAAAGGCCATGAGCAGGTTCTATTCGTCGACTTTTAACGACGTTTTCCAGTCTCCTGACAGCTTCCACGGCTCTTGATAACACAAAGTGACGATTGAGTCGGCATGATGTTCGGTGACGGCAATGCCATGAGGGGCAGTCGTTAAGTTTTGCGGCGGTCTTTGCCACGGTCTGTAGCCCTCTTTCTTTCTCATCCTGGCATGGTACTAGCAACGGCAGATGTACTACACTAGACAGTAAAATTATGTAGGAGGCGTCATGCACTTCAAAATCTGAAATGCCAAGCAGTTGTGGCCTTTTTAAGCGGTTTCTAAGGTCTAGAGAAGGGAAAGCGCAATAACATAGCATATCCCAATTTTATGAAGTTATTGTGCATACTAATAAGCGCGTAATTTCACCATGCCATGCTTCACGGCACATTGACGCTGCCCCTTGCTCTTAAATGTCTTGAGGAGCTATCTGAGCACGCCATTACTGTGTGGTATATTAATACTTGCAGTGTAGAGATCCACTTCGCGTATTTTACTCGTTAAGGCAAAGCCTTATTCGTCACTGATGATTCTGGATTGACGATTTTGGAGGTATTACTTTTTATGTAATTTCGAGCCAATGTGCTTTTTTTGCCTTCTTAACTATCTAAAAGCTAGGAGATGATGACATTGAGCATGTAACATTTTGTGTTGGCCGGGCGGATTCACGCGCTTATTTACTTTCTCCCGGTATACCAGTCCATATTTTAACGTTGTTCAGAAACTTTACATGTGGATCCTAACCCTTAAAAGGGTAAAAGTTTAGGCTGAAACAATGTTATGGCGATGAGTGGCTGCGTCGCCTTTTCAGTGCACCGCGCGCTGTTTTCTGTGCGATGTGCGGCTTATATCTACAGAACGGTTCGAGCTCTTTTACTAAGAAATCTGACCCGCGGAAACTCAACTTCTGTAAGGTGAAGCTTCGGGTCGTCTGCTGGAACGTGCGGACGTTGAACGGCGATGGCAAGCAGGGCTACGACACTCGCACCACAGTGCCATACAAGCTGCATATCTTGCAACTCTCTGAGACCTACCAGGCCATGGGCATCGGCGGCTTGAAGAAGGATTTCTGTTCTGTTCTTGTAACCAGGGCCCTCATCGCGAGGCTGGGATTGCTCCTCTCCTTTCCCTCCTAACGGCGAAAGCTTTGTAATTCGACGAATACAGGAGCGACCATGTCATCGTTTGCCGATCCACAACGATACATGTTAAGACTTCGTCGGCATTTATGACCTTATCAGCGTTATGGAAGACACTAAGAAAGGCCAGTTCTGCGCCTCCCTTCGTGCTGTTCTTGCTTCTTTCCCGTAACATCAGTTAGATAGTTGCTGGTGACCTCATCGACTAGGCCAGCCCTAATCGTGACTTCTGATCCAACGTGCTAGTTCGACATGACAGTAGTGTTGCCAATGCCAGCCACCACCGCCTGTTATTCCTTTGCACCACACACGGCCTCGCCATTGATGGGGCATAGTTTCTCATCGACACATCCATAAGCATACGTGGACGGCTCCAGGAAGTCATTTCAGAGTGAGGTCGATTCGCGGCAAATAGCGAATGCCCTCCACTACATCCGGGCGGAACGAGGTGCGAACGTCGCAGTTGATCATTTGCTAGTGATCACAAAGTTACTCCTTCGTCTGGCAAGAACTGTAGAAACGTCCCGGTGAAGGGGGACGCCAAATTTGATGCGTAGAGTTTTGAAGATCCCGTCTCTCGCGAGGTGTTTCAAGCGGAAATCAGCAGCAGATTCACTGCATTTCTCTGCCTCCCAAGAATCGGAACTACTTGATAACCGCCTTAAAAAGGCATCGTCGACATCGATGCTGAGGCTATTGGCGTCAACAGCAGAAAGACGAAACTGCACTGGGTTGCCACAGAACCTTTAACTCTTCGTCAGGAAAGACACGCGACGAAGCAGGCGTCATCATTCTGATGATACGAAGAAAAGAGAATATCGCTTTCTTTTGAATGCGGTCAACAGAAGCTACTGCAAGGAAGGCAACGATGGCTGAACCTCGAAGCGCCGAATTTGGAAAAGGTGACTGGAAAATGCTGTACATCCAGATGAATACCACTGCCAACGGTTATAAATCTAGGTGTACTACCGGTTTATTACACAGCAAGGCGAATGAGCTGCTGCAGCACTCTGATGTCTCTCGGAAAACGATGGGTCGAGCACGTCGGCCAGAGCTACACAGTAGGTCTGGTCTTCTGGTAAATCTTGAAATGGAAGAAGCTTGAAAAGATCTAGAAGATGACTGCAGCGCACCATCGATAGAAGAAACCTGCAGGTCAATCCCACTCTGCTTAAGCTCGGAGTCCTGGGAACATGGCCGGATTGGAACGGAATTCCTGAAATGCTAAAATGAGGACCTTTTTTGCGGAATCCATCAGGCTTTTGACCGCGTCTGGTGGACGACGGGGATCCCTGAAGACTGGAAAAAGGAGTAATAGTCCTGATCTGCAAGACTGGGAATTGCCCCGACTAATCAGCCATCGAGGAATCACTTTCCTGCCCTTACCGGAAAATGTGCGAATCATTCTTAGACGACTGAGGAAATCCATCGATTGTTTGCTACGAACTAACCAAACAGGCTTCCATTGTGTGCATTCATGTGCAGAAAATTTCTTTGTGCTGATTCTTAGAAAAGTTCGATGAGATGTTGGAATAGAATGTTCAGACAGCAACCAGATTATTCTGACAAACCATTTGCCGACTATGAAATATATATTAGAAGGGCTGTCAGATTTCTGAAGGACAGGTACGGGCGCCTTCTTACCAAGGACGAGGATATACTTTTGCAGTGGCGAAACAAACTGAAGGAAATTCATAACCCCGAGCAGTCGCAGGGAGACTAATTTGAAGAACAGCAAGCATTGGATATTAATCTTTCAGTAGAAGCCACAGAAGCTGTTTAAAGCTTGTAAAGTGTCAAGACTGCTGGCATCAATGAAATCCGCCGTGAGATACGTAAAGCTTTAGATGAATAGTTAACACGTGTCTGTGGAACTGCAATGACTACGGGGAAGACTGATAGAAGTGGAGTGGTAGTACTCCTGTTCTGGTAGCGGGGCATAAAGACTGCTCCAGTTTTTGAGGTATTCCCTTATTGAGTCTCCCGGGAAAGTCTGCGCAAAGTCGTTGGAAAGCAGATGTCGCGAAATGAATGACTCTGTGATCTAAGAAGAGCAGTACGGCTTCAGGTCAAGCCAAGCACCTGTAACCGGAAGTTTGCTTTAGCCAGATTGCTAAGCAGTGGTTAGAGTTCGCTCATCTGGTTTACATGTGCTTTGTTGACCTGGAGAAAACCCATGATCAGGTTCGCACAACAAATTATGAGCGTACTTTCAAACAAATGGGATCAATAGCCAGTTGCTACGAGCCTCCAGTCACTGTATGCTAATAGCAGCTGCTGCTTCATAGTAAATGGCGTTAAGTCAAAACCTTTCAACGTGAGCACTGGTCTACGTCCAAACTGCATTTTGTCCCCTCCTGTTTGTGTTGTACATGGATAGGTCAGTAGCAGCCAAGGCAATGAGTGTATTGGTGTAAGAGATGTCGAGACGAGAAGGCTGCTGCTTGCAGACGACCTTGTTTTATTGGCATCTTTTGAAACTGATCTAAAGTGCTCTCTTGAAGGGTTCGCCGCCAAGTGCGATGTGGCTGGCGTGAGTGTGAACGTATGTAAAATGAACAACCTAGTGCTTTCTCATTCTCCTGACAGTTGCGCGCTGTAGATAAATGGAGGGGGAGTAATGGAACAGGAGGAGAAATTAGCGTACCTCATGGTTAAATTTGGAAAGCGGAAAGAGAAGATCGACCAGCGAATTGGAATTGTCAGCGACGTCCTGCGTGAACTAGCCCGAACCGTTGTGACTACAGCAGCTCTAGGTGTTTACGTCAGTCGTCATCGTGATGCTTTTCTACAGTCTTCAGTCGTGGGCCATGACTGAAAAGTTTCTATCCTTTATGCAAGCTATTTTAATAGGCTTTCTGAAGCGAATCGGTGGACTCACGCGTCTCGACATAATCCGGATTTTAGATATCCGAGAAAGTCTTTGTGTACAGCCGTTAATTCTCCAGATTCAAAAGTCATATTTGCAGCATTTTGGGCACGTGTTGCGAATGCCGCCAGGCGAAGCAAATAGCTTGCCCAGCTGACCGGTAGAAAACTCCGAGAACGGCGAAGAATATCCCGGGGAAAATGTATGGAAGTGTTCTGATCCATA